AAAAAAAATAATAATAATAATCCAACTCAGGAATGAGCAAAGGAATTTGAGTAAGACATTTTTCCAAAGAAGACGTACAGACAACCAACAAGCACAAAACAAGACGAGCCACCTCAGTAGCTGTTAGGGAAGTGCAACTCAAAACCACAAGGAAACACCACCTCACACACATCAGGACGGTTTGTTGAAATTTTGTCTATCACAAGTTTTGGTGAGGCTAAATAGAAACGGAACCCCTGTGCCCTGTTGGTGAATAAATAAAGCAGTTCAGACCCTATGGAAAATGCTACAGCGGTTCCTCTAATAATTAAACATAGGATTGCTGTATAATCCAGAAATTCTACTTCTGGTATTTGCTCAAAGGAATTGAAAATAGAGTTTCAGTGAGATTTTACACACCCTCTTTCACTGCGGCGCTGTTCACAGTAACCAGCTGGCAGAAGCAACCCAAGTGCCCATCAGCAGATGAATGAATAAATAAAGTGTAGTGTACACATTTATACAGCTGTGAAAAGGAAAGAAATTTTAACATAGGGTGCAACAAGGATGGGAATCCATAGTACCCACAAGGACACTATGCTAGGTGGAATATGCCAGCCACAAAAAGATAAATAATGATTCCTCTTATAAGAGGTGCTGAGATTTGTCAAGTTCCTAGAAGCAGAAAGTAAAACGGAGCTTGCCAGGGGCTGGGGCGGGGCTGAATGGAAGAGTGGGCAGTTGTTGGATGAATAGAGACTTTCAGTTTTGCACGATGACAAGAGTTCTAACTGTTGGTTTCATGGTAATGTGAATGTACTTCACACCGCTGAACTGTACACTGAAATGATTAAGACGGTAAATTTCATCTTATGTATATTCGACTGCAATTTTTAAAAAGGCTGTTTGTATGCATGAGATAGAAAGAGAGAGAAGGAGACAGAATATTCACACATATACAATCAATTAGTAGAAGCAAGTAAGAACAGATTCCAGATGTAATTTCCAGTTGATGGGATACAACTTTTCTTTCATCTTAATAAAAGACTTTTTTATATTTTTCCACTATGTGACTTAAAATTTTTATGGAAGAGAATAGAGGAGAGTTGTTCAAGTATATATTACTTTGCCATCCCTAAGAGACCAACAGAGAAATAGGAATACAAATGAAAGGTTAATGGGAGAAAGATCCAATGAATTCTGTTTAGTTTTGGGGGCGGGAGGGGTATGAGGTTGATCTTGTGATAGGTGAGACCCGGAAGCCATTCATACCAGTCTCTACCTTGTCCCCACAGGTTGTTGCTCAGCAAGTTGTCCCCAGCGAAGCTCATGAGCCAGTTGCCCTTCTGCAATGGGAGCCGAGTGAGTTATGTCCGGCAGGTACATATTTAAAGTTCATCTCTCTAACAGCCCTATCTCCGTGTTCCTCCAGTCTTCTGCTCCTTGCAGTTCCTAGTTCTTTACTCAATACATGTTTACTGAACCGTTGCCAAATACAGGACCAGGAAGATCTATCCTTGTGTTTTCTGCTGAGAGTATTGTAGTCTTCACATTTCCATTTGAATATTTGATCCGCTTTGAGTTAATTTTTCTGTGGAGGGTCAGATAAAGTCCCAGCTTTTTTCTTTTGCACATAGCTATCCAGTTGCAGTTGTCCCCACGCCAGATGTTGAAAAGACTGCCCTTTCTCATGGAATGGTCTTGGCACCCTTGTTGCAAATCAGTAGAAAATGAATTTATTTTTGGACTCTCAATTGTATCTTGTTGGTCCGTGTCTTCCTTCCACCAGTGCTTCATTGTCTTGAATACTTCTGGAATGTGTTTTAAAATCAGGAAGTGTGAGTCTTCCTACTTTGCTTTCCTTTTCCAGGATAATTTTTATTATATTGGCTCCCTCACAATTCCATATGAATTTTAGAATCATCTAAATTTCTACAAAAAAGCCAACTGATTTTCTAATCAGGCTTATGTTGAGTCCAAAGCCCAGGGTGAAGAGTACTGTCATCTTAACATCAAGTCTTTCCATCCATGAAAGTGGGATGTTTTTCCATTTGTTTAGATGTTCTACAGTTTTCAGATTTGCATTTATTTGTTGTGTATTTCTACATAATATTTTTTGATGCTCTATAAATAGGATTTTTTCTTAGTTTTATTTTTGGATTGCTCATTGTGAATATATAAAACTTTAATTGACTTTTATATGTTGGTCTTATATCCTGTAACCTTGCTGAACTTATTTCTCATATTTTTTCAGTGTATATAAAATGATGTCTTTTGAGGGGCTGGGGATTTAGCTCAGTGGCACAGTGCCTGCCTGGCAAGTGCAAGGTCGTGAGTTCGATTCCTGATACCGGAAAAAAATTTTTTTAAAAAGATGATGTCTTCTGCAAATAGAGATAGTTTTCATTGCTTCTTTTTCAGTCTGGATGACTTTTGTTTGTTTTTTTGAGATAGAGTTTTGTTATGTAGCTC